AGTAGGAAACCGCAGACATCATTCTGCGTTCCCAAACCACTGAAAATACTGTCTAGCATTTTTCGCCATGTTTTTGGATGTACCATGTAAATGTAAAAGATGCAGGGCCCCTGCCCCAGCCCAAAGACTTCATTCTCCTAGAGACAGAGTGGGTGCACATGCCTACCTGTTGTCTGTCCCTCTTCTGAGTTTGACAAATATCTGAAGAGGAAGGACAAGAGGATCGGGGAATCAGAATCATCACAGAAAAGAGCCGATGACTGCATGCCTGGAATCTGTTTATCTTCCAAAGTGCATAGTAACTGCAACAACAAGGGATGAGACATATTGTTGACGTTTTCCCCTGCCATTCTGCAAAGGCGGTTGTAGTCTTTTAGTTCCGTACCCTGCAGTGCTCTACGGGGCCTCTTTTGGCCCCGCTTTCCTAGCGTCCCAAAAGTACTGCCTCTGTAAGCACTTGGTACTTCCGTCAGTCAGCTGTTACTTCAGGTCACCGTCAGGAATAAAGCTCTCTTTGCCCTGGCTGGTGTGCTCAGTGGTTAGAGTGTTGGCCCTCAGATTGAAAGGTCTCAGGTTTGATTCCCATCAAGGGCATGTACCTAGGTTGCAGGCTTCACCCCTGGCCTGGGTCAGGGTGAGTGTGGGAGGCAGTCAATCAAAGTGTCTCTCTCACATCAATGTTTCTCTCTCTTTCTCCCCCCTCTCCCTTCCTTCCACTCTCTCTAAAAATCAATGGGAAAATGTCCTCGAGTGAGGATTAGGGAGGGAGGGCGGGAGGGAGAGAGAGAGAGAAAAGAAAGAAAGCTATCTTTGTTTTAAGTCTCTTGCAGTTCTCCCCTTTTTTTGAACTATTAACCAAAGATATATACAGGCCTATCTTGCTTTATTATGATACTCGCTGCTTTTATAGTTGCTGTGTTTTTATTTTTTTTTTACAAATTGAAGGCAAAGAAGATTTCTACTCACTCACTTTATTGGGATGCTTGCTTTATTGTGGTGACCTGGAACTGAACCTACAATACCTCAGAGTATGCCTGTCCTTTAACTTGAATGCTCCAACGTTTTTATCATATTTGTAATGTAATAAATTACGTAAATATTATATACAAGACATTAAGCAAAAACCATCCATCCCCTTAAAAATGTGGAGGGAGCCTGGCTAGTGTGGCTCAGTAGTTGAGCATCGACCTATGAACCAGGAGGTCACGGTTCAATTTCCAGTCAGGGCACATGTCTGGGTTGCAGCTCGATCCCTAGTAAGGGGAGTACAGGAGGCAGCCAATCAATGATTCTTTCTCATCATTGATGTTTCTATCTCTCCCTCTCCCTCCTTCTCTCTGAAATCAATAAAAATAATTTTAAAAAGTTATAATAGATCCTTTGGGTGCTTCCTGAAGTGGGTTAATACAGTAGAGTCTAGATTCCAATTCCAAATAAAACCAATGAACACACTTAATTCCATCCCACCTGCTTTAGGTCAGGTGATTCTTTTTCTTTAGAATTGAGAAGGAATCCATCTCTTTCTACTTTAACATCTCACTTATGGGAAGTAATAAGGGCTCGGAGGAATAAGCCAGTTTGGGGCTCTTTATTGACAGCTGTCTTACCTTTGCAGCCACAAGTGGATTTCTTAGACCAACATTGTTCAATAGAAATATAATGCAAGCCACATATGGAATTTAAACATTTTTAGTAGCCATATTTTATTTTTTCCTATTTATTGACTTTATTGGTTGACACTGATTAACAAAATTATACAAGTTTCAAGCGCACAATTTTACAACACATCATCTGTACACTGTATTGTTTGTTCACCACCCCAAGTCTCCTTCCATCACCATTTATCACCCCTATTCCCTTCTTCACCTCCCCCACCCTTTCCCATATGTCAAAAAGTAAAAAACAAAATGAAAGTAGTTTCATATTTCATTTAATCAATATAGCCAAAATACTATTTCAACATGGAATCAATATTTTTAAATTATTGAGATATTTTGCGTGCCCCCCCCCACTAAGTTTTCTATATTTGCTGTGTGTTTTACACTTACAGTGCATCTCAGTTTGACTAGCCACATTCAAAGTACTCAATAGCTCAGGCCATATTGGACAACACAGTGTTAATTAACATGGAGAATATAAGGAGGCAGCTGCAGGTGAGGCTGCAGTAGCAAAGGAGGAAAGTTTTATCTGTCAAACCAAGAGTTTGAACTTTACCCTGAAGGTTATGGGCGCTGTAAACGGATCTGAGGCAGAGAACTTAACTTGATGGTTTCAGAGAATATAGGCTAGAGATTTAGGAGTGGGGTTCAAGCAAGAAGCATTGTTCGGAGGCTGTTGTAGTGGTCTAGGTGAGGAGTGGTAAGAACCTGAATTGAAACACTGTGGGGGCCCCTAGCTGGTTTGGCTCAGTGGATAGAGCGTCGGCGTGTGGACTGAAGGGTCCTGGGTTCAATTCTGGTCAAGGACACATACCCTGGTTGCGGGCTGGATCCCTAGTAGGGGGCATCCAGGAGGCAGCGGATCAATGATTCTTATCATTGATGTTTCTATTTCTCTATTCCTCTCAATAAAATAATAAGAAAGAAAGAGAGAAAGAAAGAGAGAGAGAGAGAGAGAGAGAGAGAGAGAGAGAGAGAAAGAAAGAAAGAAAGAAAGAAAGAAAGAAAGAAAGAAAGAAAGAAAGAAAGAAAGAAAGACAGACGACTGTGAGGAACGTGGGCCAAAGGAAGTATGTTTGGCAGAGATTTAGGAGGTCAAATCACTGTTGGATTTGAAGAGAGGGAGGAAGTAATCTACTGGTAGGATAGTTACCAGGTTCCTGCCTCGGGTAGTTGGGCCAACGGCAGTCGTGTTAACTGACATGGAGGGAGGACAGGCTGTAAGGGGAGATGAGTTCAGCATGGGGCATGGTGACCCTGAGGTACTTTTGTCACAGGCAGGTAGATATGTCCAGTTTGACAGGGAAGAGTTTACTCGAGTATATTTAGAGTTAGAAGCTATAAAGGCTGGGAAGGAACCCAGTACTTAAGGTGCCAGTGAAAACTTTAGGCAGTTAACAAGAAGGGGGTGTGAGGCTGAGGTAACCAAGGGCAGCTTTGTAGAAAAGGGGGGGATTAAGCAGACTCTTAAAGAATTGATAGAATTTAGAAAGTTAAAGAAGGCAGAAGCAGCAGCAGAAATGTAGTGAGGTAAGAATGTGTCAGACACTGAATATACCCATCCTGCTGGGCCAGATGGGTTAGGGCTGAGATCAAAGCTGGCCTAATGCAGTTTGCAGACGTTTTGTTTGGCTGGCATGGGTGGGGTTGGATCATGCAGTGTTCTAAATTTAGTAAGGTGCCAGCACTTCCACACAAAAGTCCAGATTTCTGCTTTTTAAAATAAAAGGGGGCTGGGCGGTAGCTTGGCAACACTGGTGGTCTTCTGTGGGAACGCTCCCCTCTCCAGCGGTCGGTTTTCTGCACTGGGCTTGAGTCCTGCAGGCATTTGGGTATTTACTCTACTTCTGAGTCCAGGGTTGGTAGGTAATCAAGGTACAAAGATGGATTGGTGACAGGTCAAGGAGGGCTTTTAATGCTAAACTAAGGAGTATACATGTAGGCATCAGGCAACTGGAGAATAAGGGATTGATGAGGTTAAACCATACTGAGGAGGATTATTCTGGACCAGTGAAAATACAGAAGTTAGGAGAACAGTTACCAGTTTTGAAAGGGAAAAGACAGATGTGATGGTGGTGGCATAACCACGTGGGCTAAAAACTGCGAACTGGACGTCTCTGCAGGAGATGTCACCCGGGAAGCCTGCCAGTGCCACATGGGAACCATCTGGGCCTCTGGACTGACTTATAGCGTGTGCGTTGGGAGATCTGCTTTGCAGGCTTCCAGAATTCAGGCCAGTGTTTGGTGTAGGGGCACCGCGAGGCTGGCTGTTTGAAACAGCTGTTTGTGTTTGCTATAACCTCTCAGTCGGAGCACAGTGTGCTTTTTCTCCTTGTTGTGAGCACAGATGGACGATCATGAAGACAATGGAAATGCTAAGAGAGGTGGGGCAAACTGTGAAGCTGTTAAACCCTGGCTGTGGGAGCAAAGCTCACGGTGGGTGCTGAGCTGCGTGTTGTCACCCAGTATAACACCTGCCTGGTCACCTGCCTTCTTCAACATTGTCCGGCTGCTGGCTTACAGTCATTGTTCTAAGTAGACTGTAAAGTAAAGGAAAGGCCCCTTTAAAATAATGAGGCTAAAATTAATATCCGATCATTATTAGCTGTGTGCCAGGCACTCTTCTAATTCTTCCTACAGATATTTAATAATTATAGCTGCCCCCTTGAAGTACTATTGCCATCTCCATTGACCAGCAAGGAAACGGAGGCCCTGGTGGGTAAGAACGTACCCAGGGCCACAGGCTGATAAGGAATGGAAGCAGGACTTGACCCCAAGCAGTCTCTCTGGAGGCTTTTCTGTTCAACACTGTTCAACGGCCTCCGTATCGTAAGGTCACAGAAATAGGCAAATTCACAGGGAGACAACCTTATGCTTCTATCCTGGAGGCCCCAGTACAACTTACCCCAGGGCTGTTCGTTTGGTTCGGGCCCTCCTCGCGGAGCTGGAACTCCAGCATGGGTCCCTCAACTGCCTTTCAGGGGAGGAGATAACGTGCTGGGTCCTTGGGTGACCTTGAGAGAGCAAGGTTGTGTGCTGTGTTCAAAAGGCTGTTCTCTTCCTTTAGCGAACGGATCGAGGTTAACTTATAAAGTGTGCGTGGGTAACCCTTTATTACAAATTTAAAAAGACCTCATAGAAATTCTCATCCCTTTCATGCACACTAAATCACGTTAGCTTTTCTTCATATGTTCTCACAGAGCACTTTTAATAAATATTTGATGTTGCCAGGGGCTGAGATTCCATAACATTGTAGGGACCCAAAGGTATTAGTGCAGTGCTTCAAGACCTGTCAACGTTTCCTCCCATAGTTAGTGTGGCTTCCTTCTCTTTGGTCTCCAGGTGAAACATGTGAACGAAAGGTTTAAAGAGGAAACCAACAAGGAGGTGGTTCTCATGTGCATTGGCATCACGTCGGGAGTGGGACGGCTGCTCTTCGGCCGGATTGCAGACTACGTGCCTGGCGTGAAGAAGGTTTACCTACAGGTACTCTCTTTAGTCCTGTCCCCCAGCAACACTATTCCATTGCCTGGTGTCTCCTTATGTGTATTTGTTTGCTCAAATTCTTCTGTAAAAATGAGGAATATTTTCTAGAACCTAACTTCTAGCCGTTTTTCAAGGGCAAACTCAGTTATGAGCGTTGGGTTTTCAGTATGAAAAATTGGCGATCAAACAGCAACCTTCTTTGTTTTGCCATAGAACTCCACCAAATCAAAATGTTTTTTGCCCATTACTTTTTCTAGGAATTGTGGTTTTGGCATAGTTTTTATAGTCATGTGCCTTTTGCAATATCTTGTGAAATTCAGGGGTGTGCATGTTTGTTTTTTGAGCTTCCTTATTGCAAATTGCCTTCTGGGTATTGTGGAGTACACACTAAACAAATGCTAATTCTAAGAGCATATGGACCTCATCTGACAAGTATTTAAGTGACTCCTCCATACCAGACACTGTGTTATATGCTACAGATGAAACATGGTCTGTACCCTCAATTAGTAGCTAATGGTATCATGGGAAGACAGATAAGTGTTATAGCACAGTGGAATATACGTATGCTAGATGGGTACCATAGCAACATAGGCGCCAAGCATCTGAATCACTTGTGGGGGTGTGAGCAGGCCTCCTAGGCTGGCAGAGTGTTAAGGGGTGAATAGTAGACAGATAAGGACCAGCAGAAGAAACCATATGTGCAAAGAGGTGAGGTGTGATGGAGTATATTATGTCTGGGAAACAATATTTGAAGCCTGATCATGATCAGTTGAATAAATGGAAATGTAGACAACTTTGCCCAAAAGCTTGGCTGTGGAAGGAAGGTAAAGGAGAGCCACAAATGGGCTCTGGGGTTGGGGATTGAGCATGTCTGCCCACTATACAGAGGAGAGGCAGTATTTGAGGAGGAGGGCCTTGGAGGAGAGGTGGAATTTGGGCACAGGAAAATGATTGGAAAAGGCATAAAGTAATTTACTATGTATGGATACAAAAGTTGGACAGTGAAGAAGGTTGATAGGAAAAAAACTGATTCATTTGGAATATGGTGTTGGAGGAGAGCTCTACTGATACCCTGGACCACTAGAAAGACAAATGGGTCCTAGAGCAAATTAAGCCTGAAACATAGCTAGAGGCAAACATGGCAAAACTGAAGCTGTCCTACTTTGGGCACATCATGAGAAGGCAGGGTTCTTTGGAAAAGACAGTAATGCTGGGGAAAACAGAAGGCAGCATAAAGAGGAAGACCAAATATGAGATGGGCTCACTCCATTAAAGAAGCCACAGGCAGGAGCTGAGCAGGGCTGTTGAGGACAGGACACTGTGGACATCACTCATTCATAGGGGTGCTAGGAGGCAGGGCTCACTCAGTGGTATGTAACACACACAAAAGAACTTCTGTTAATTGACGTGAAGTAATACCAACCACCACACATTGAGCACTTCCACGATGAAGTATCTCCTTTACTCTTCGCCCCTGCCCTTTGAGGAAGGTAATGTCATTTCCACGTAGAGAGGTGAACGCTGAGACAGAGAGGCCACCTCACTGTGGGTGTCTGTATAGGTCCAGGCGGACCGCCACAGGACGGAGTCTGCTCATACAGCTAGAAGGAAGTGTGGGACAGTGCTACTTTTTAAAAAAATATATATTTTCTTGATTTTTTTACAGAGTGGAAGGGAGAGGGATAGAGAGTTAGAAACTTCGATGAGAGAGAAACATCAATCAGCTGCCTCCTGCACACCCCCCACCAGGGATGTGCCAGCAACCAAGGTACATGCCCTCGACTGGAATCGAACCCGGGACCCTTCAGTCCGCAGGCCGACGCTCTATCCACTGAGCCAAACCAGTCAGGGCGACAGTGCTACTTTTAAACGTATTTATTGTACTCTGATCATTCCCCCTTTTATTATTACCTGATTGTGGATACCCTTGTCAGACATTTAGCAGAACATTGGGTCTTGTTCTCAAGTGTCATGGGAGCCCTCTAATGGACATTTGTTGCATGACAAACTTTCAGCTTTTTCTTTTTTAAAAAATATTTAAAAATTGATTTTAGAGAGGAGAGGAGAAAGAGAAGAGAGGGAGAGAGGAAGAAATATCAACCTATTATTCCATCCATTCACGAATTCATTGGTTGACCCCTGCATGTCCCTGTTATTAAATAACAATACTTTACTTTTATGTAATAACAATAAAGTATATATAATTTCAAAGGTACAATTAAAAATAAATTATTTTACCAACTTTTAGAGAGAGAGACACACACACACAGAGAAACATCTTGGTTGTTCCACTTATTTATGCATTCATTGGTTGATTCTTGTATGTGCCCTGACTGAGGAATGGAACCTGCAGTCTTGGCACACTCTAACTGACTGGGCTACCTGGCCAGGGCTCAGAATCAAATGTTTGATGAATGAATTTGAGCTGATATTAAAATAACTAGTAATTTATTTATTTTTAATTTATTATTTTTTAAAACATATTTTTATTGATTTCAGAGAGGAAGGAAGAGGTAGAGAGAGAAACATCAATGATGAGAGAGAATCATTGATTGGCTGCCTCCCTGCATGCCCCCTACTAGGGATGGAGCCCGTTGACTGGAATCGAACCGGGACCCTTCAGTCCATAGACGACACTCTAGCCACTGAGCCAAACTGGCCATGGCATAAAGAACTAGTATTTACTGAGCAGTGACCTGGTACAAGATCCTTAACCCTTGTAATATCTAGTTCAAAGGTGGCTTGTACAGATTCTGACTTCAAAGAGCTTACAGGCTGGGAGGGAAAAATAGTTACTTTCTTCTTGTCTCTTTATTACAGTAATTTTCAAGAATTTTTAAAACATGCAATACCTGCCCTGACCGGTGTGGCTCAGTTGGTGGAACATGATGCCATGCACAAGAGGTTGCCCGTTGGCTTCCCAGTCAGGGCACATGCCTGGGTTGCTGGCTCAGTCTCCAGTAGAGGGCGTGCAGGAGACAGCCAAATGATGTTTCTCTCTCACATTGATGTTTCTTTCTCTCTCTCTCTCTCTCTCTCTCTCTTTCAAGTCAATAAAACATATTTTTAAAAAATAATAATAATAAAAACATGTAATACCTGACTACTTAGGGCACTGACTTCCTTTCACTTAGACTGTCAAATAAAAAAAATGACAACACGCCCTAACCAGTTTGGCTCAGCGGATAGAGTGTCGGCCTGCGGACTCAGGGGTCCCAGGTTCGATTCCGGTCAAGGGCATGTACCTTGGTTGCGGGCACATCCCCGGTGGGGAGTGTGCAGAAGGCAGCTGATCGATGTTTCTCTCCCATCGATGTTTCTAACTCCCTCTCCCTCTCCCTTCCTCTCTGTAAAAATCAATAAAAATATATTTAATTAAAAAAAAAATGACAACAGCCCCTAGCCAGTTTGGATAGAGTGTTGGCCCATGGACTGAAGGGTTGAGGGTTTAATTCCAGTCAAGGGCACATCCTTAGTTGCAGGCTCAATTCCCAGTGCCAGTCAGGACATGTGTGGGAGGCAACCAATTGATGTGTCTCTCTCACAACGATGTTTCTCTCTGTCTCTCCCCATTCCTTTCACTCTCTCTAAAAAAATCTGGAAAAATATCCTCGGGTGAGGATTAACAACAACAAAAATGACAACAGCCAACACAACAATGGGCATTTGTGTGAATGAATCAAAATTATACCTATTTTTTGTCAAAAAAAATTTTTTTTGGTGTGCCACTGAATTTTAGTAATTAGTTTATGTGTGCCATGAGATGGAAAAGGTTAAAAATTACTGCCTTAATGGAAATACTGAGAAAGTGCTAGGGGAACTCAGGGAGTTGATTACGGAAGTTGATTATGTATATAAAATCAAGGTGAATGGGGCTGGGGGGGGGGGGCGCGACTAAGCAGTAACTTCTTAAAAGTTCTAAACATATTGCTCAGTAATTGCAAAATTCACTTTTCCTGACAGCAGAGTTGACATGTGGTGTCTGTCCTAGGTGCTCTCCTTCGTCTTCATTGGTCTGATGTCCATGATGATTCCCTTGTGCAGTGTCTTTGGGGCCCTCATCGCCGTCTGTCTCATCATGGGCCTCTTCGATGGATGCTTCATTTCCATTATGGCCCCCATTGCCTTTGAGTTAGTTGGTGCCCAGGACGTTTCCCAAGCAATTGGGTTTCTGCTCGGATTCATGTCTATACCCATGACTGTGGGGCCACCCATTGCAGGTAAATGTAATTATTCTCCAATAATTATATTAATTCATAGCATTTTTTACTACAGGTCCTAAGTCTCACTTGTATGTAAATGTATAATTTATTAGTTACTAGTCTTTTGGGTGTTTTTTTGTTTTGTTTTGTTTTTTTGTGCTACAAAAAGCCAAATACAAAATGCCACATATTGCATGATTCCATTTATATAAAACATCCAAAATAGGAAAATCCATGGAGGCAGAGAGTAGATGTGTGGTTGCCAGGGGCCAGAGGGAAGGGGATAAAGGAGTTTTGTTCTGGTGTGATTAAAACATTTCAGAACTAGATAGGGGTGGTGGTTGCATAACATTGTGAATGTACTAAATGCCATTAAAATGGTTAATTTTATGTTACGTGAATTTCACCTTTAGAAATCTTCTGAATGGTAGTATAAAGATTTCTTCTTTCAGTATTACTTGGGTGCGAATGTGAATTTTTATAAGAAGATTTGATAAAATTATGACAAAATTTGAATGTATGTACTATCTTCTGTTTCTGGCATGTGAAGGGCTCAGTTAAAGTTCAGTTCGATTCATTCTCATATCCAGAACCACATGTACCGAGCAACTTTGCCAGTTGGGAACCTAGTCATGAATCCAGCAAGCAGAGTCACCACCGTGCAGACCAAACAACATTTGGTCTAAAGATCACAGTCTCCTTAGAGGAGAACCCCGTCCTTGCTCACTCTCCACTAGTCACACTATTTGTATACCTTACAAGCTTCATTTCTTAGGGTTTCCAAGTCCACAGGGGATGACAGGTAGCTGTGGAATGGGGTTTGCTACTAGAAGTAACTGATAGCAGACGAGAATAAGGGAGGTAACAGGAAGCTCCCAAAGCAGGCAGAGCAACACAGCATCTGGCAGCAGAAAGCCCCCGGCCCCCCAGGAGGCTCTGGGGCCACAGTATCATAGCCAAACACAATAGTTAGTGCTCATAAGGATGAAAGGTTCAGTTATACATTAAATGTTCTGATTCAGGAGATAGGAAATCACGTATTTGGACATACTGTGTGCTCTAGGTTTCCATCCAGAATGAAAGTGCACCTTTTTAATGTGTTGGGACTCAACGGGACACATCCTTGGCAGAGTCAGATATTTAGTACTCTGTGTGTTCCCTACACATTTCAGATAACTGAGGTTGTGTAGTAAACATGTTAAAAGGTGAGCCCATCCGGTGTGGCTCAGTGGTTGAGCGCCAACCTATGAAAGAACCAAGAGGTCACACTATTCGATTCCTGGTCAGGGCACATGCCCAGGTTGTGGGCTTGATCCCCACTGGGGGTTGTGCAGGAGGCAGCCAATCAGTGATTCTCATCATTGATGTTTCTACCTCTCTCTCCCTCTCCCTTCCTCTCTGAATTTAATAAAAATATTTTTTTAAAAAGTTTAAAAACACTAAGATAACTAATTAAACATTGGATTGTGTTAGGTAAATTAGATACAAGGGGTATGCTAAATAACAGTTTCAGAAGCACAACCCAAGGATCTAAGAGTGCCACAGATTCTCACGTCTTCCTCTCATGTGGTGACAGACCTTAGTTATCTTTCCAAAATGTACTTAACAACCTTTTCCTTCCTAACTTACGTTTATCATTGTTCATGATTTTAAATTATAATTTTCAATAGCTTCATGTTATTTCATAAACAAATAGGCCCAAGAAAGGTTTGAAACGGTAGACATTTTGCAGTGTCTATGAGAAGTTTAAGCTTGGTGGTCTACCCACCTTTACACCATGTGTCAGAATGCCCCAAATGACCTCTGAAGGGTTTTGAAAAAAACCAAAGCTTAGTTGCAAATATTTTTTTCCATGTAATATTTTGGTATAAAAACCCAGAGGCCTGTAGTCTGTGACGAGATTAAAGATAGGAGCTCTTTTCCTTCTTCATATCAGAAATGGTTTATATTTCAGGCACACTTCCTAAACATGTTTAATCATCTGAGATGTTTGAACTAGTTCTGCTGAGATGCAGTCACTAGGGTGGAACTAGGCAGGCCACCACTGTGCCGGATCTGAGACCCCCGGGAGCCCCCCCCCCCCCCCCCCCCCCCCCCCCCGCCTTCCCGTTTCTCTTGGTGACAGTGTTTTCTCTTCCCAGGGTTCTTCGTGAGAAGCTGGGTTCCTATGACGTGGCATTCTACCTCGCTGGGGTCCCTCCCCTTATTGGAGGTGCTGTCCTTTGCTTTATCCCATGGATCCATAGTAAGAAGCAAAGAGAGATCAATAAAACCACTGCAGGAGAAAAGATGGAGAAAATGCTGGAGAACCAGAACTCTCTGCTGTCAAGTTCACCTGGAATCTTGAAGAAAGAATCTGACTCTGTTATTTAATGTCTTCTATACCTCCACCAGACTGGATTTGCTTTCAGAAGTTTAAGCAAGTTTTCCTTTTATATAAATTGCAAATTATTTTTTTAATCACATCCTAAGAATAGCACAATAATGGGAAATAGAACATTTATTCCTACAAGAACCATTTTCTGCCACCGAATAGCTGTCTAACATTAACATGAGTCTGAGGACAGAGACTCTGGTCCATGAAAACATCTCTGGGAGTTAAATCTTATGAGAATTTGATCCATCTCAGTAGAAAGCAACTTTGAAAACTGTGAATGCTATTTAGCTTCTACAAATATTTTAAAAAATACCTCAAGCTATACTGAAAAGGTTGTAATTTGGTTAGACTGGAAATATTGTTTGTTGCCTCACATGCTGTTTTTAGTTCTGGTATCTATCTAGATTTTAATTTCTTTTGCTATTTGGAGACTTTTTACAAAATTTAAGTCTGGCTTCTAGATAATGTGCGAGCTACCTAAAACTCAAGTGTGTGTGAAAGTTGCTTTCCCTGCGGTTAAGTAGGCCCTGACATGAAGGGGTTCTGACTTGCTCTAGTGTCAGAGATCTTTTTGGAGCAAATGCTAGCAATGTATTCAGAACCAGGATGTGAGATTCCTGGTCATAAGGGCAGAGCAGTTAAAAAATCAGGCATTTCTTCATTTCCATTTCTTCCCTTTGGCTTTGCAGTGTTTTACTGGAGTAGCCAGAAACGCTCCAAATTTCTGAATTTGTTTAAATTATAACAATAAAGAAAAATAGAATGAATGAAAGATACTCTGGCAGTTTTAACATAAAATATTCCTGGCTTCTGAATTTGTTAGCACTGGGACCCAATATTTAAACAAAGCCTTATTGAGCATGTTGTCAAGTTGCAGTTTCAGGCACAGTGGGGGAAAAGATCTTTGTGTTTGTAAAGGAAATATCTATTTCTGATAGACACAGTTGCTGAAATTGGTTTATGAAATTAATGGGTCGTGAAAGGTTAGAAGCATTTATAAAGAGAAACAACTCCTACATTTCCAAAACTTTCTGGCAGAAATTTGCATTTGTGTGTATTTCTCCTAGTGTGTTCCCCATTAACATTCTTAGTACTTTTTTCTATTTATACACAGACAATTGAAAGCAAGCTATTAGAGTTTAAGTATCTAAAATTAAAACCAAATCATGTCATGACCCATGCTCATCTACAAAAAACAGGAACACTTTCCTCATCCCTGAAGTTATACATTTTTGTTATTTAGGTGTTTAAAAATTAATAATATGCAAAGTATATTTAAATCCTAAATATAGATGTTTATTAGATCTTCCTCAAATGTAGCTTGATCACCTGGGAAGAATGTTGTCTTTTTTTTTTTTTTTTTTTTTGAGAGAGAGAGAGACATCAATTTGTTGTTTGACTTATTTATATACACTCATTAGTTAATTCTTGTGTGTGCCCTGACCGGGGGTTGAACCCACAACCTTGGTGTATAGGGATGGCACTCTAACCAACTGTGCTACCTGGCCAGGATGAGTGTTGTCCTTTTCTAAAGCACCTCTAGGACCCACCTGTTTCTAAGTTCTTTGTAAGGAAAGAAAGTTAGTCTATTATCTCCTTACTTTACTTTTCAGCTACTGTTGTTTCTGGAAGGCACAGCACTTCCATTCCTTGTCTCTAGCTGAGGATGGAGATGCCTGGATACCATATGGACTTAGAACTGATGGAGAGCAGGGAGGTGTGGCACTCAGAAGGTGGGAGGAAAGTGAGGCTGTTCATTAAACGGCGAGAAAACACAATAATTTTCCTTTCAGAATCAACTTTCTTATCTGCAGCCTTGAAAATTCAAAGTCTATAAACACTAAATGTAGAATCTGTTTTTAATAGGATTTTAAATAATTTTGATTGTGAGGACATTCAACAACTTACTGTGGCCATACACACAGTTGCAACTTACTCCTTCAAAATGTCCATATTTCATATTCAGGGACTTAGGTAATTTGTTTTTTGGAAGTTTCTGTTACAAAGAAAAGGAAAAACCCTACATTTGAACACACTGCCCTTTTATGTTCTTATTTTAAACTTTTAGAAAATGACTTAGAAATGATAATGTAATAAATTATCTGGTTTTTCATTTATTCATGCCCAATTATAAAAGCATAATTTCCTCATTATCAATGCTTTTGAGATCAGCAAAAACATAAAACTAAGACCAATCATCATGCCTGCCATTATAAATAATTTTTTACAGTTTTTATATGACTCCTGGTACGCCCCACCTGCAATTGTACAGAAAGAATAATTCTAAAATAGAATATTTACTCTGTAAAGACCTCCAAAGTGCTTTTCCTTTCAAAATTTGGCTGATTTTAGGGGAAATAAAATGTAATAATCTGAAACTCAAAGACTTGATCTTGCTTGATTAGTTCTAATAAAAGAGCAAAGTGACTTAACATTTATAATAAAACTTAGATCTCAGAATACTGCACACATACTACTACACTTATGTAGTTTTCAGTCTAATGCAATGAGTCAAACAGGATCTATAACACCAAGAAATCTCCACCATAATCGAGTACTGTGCTGTAATAATATAAAGTTAAAAAGAAAAAGTATAAAAGGTAAGATGCTAAATTCCATAAAATGCATATTTAGTAATATGTTGTTTGGTACAAAAAGTTTTAAAAGTCTAAAGTTCTAAAAGTTCTACAAACTAAAAAAATGAAAAATACTAACATTCATAAAGATTCGTGTTTCAGACAAAGAAATATTACTTTAATCTTTTAGTTAAAGTAAATCCTTTCCAATTTCTGAAGTGTTACTATTGTAATAAAGTGACCAGATGGGCCTAAATTTTTTTTGGTTCAATTCAGACACTTTTTTTGAGAGGAACAGAATAGAGTCAGAACTCTACTTTCTAGCACATCATCCTAATTCTGATAGGATCAGCAAATTCTCACATTCAATAGGTTCTTGCATTTGAGGCCAGCAGTTACATAAGAAGGGGAGCAATTAGTATTCCCCTTTACAGAAACTCCGGGTCAGATTCACAGGTAACAGATACCCAAAGATCTTCCAGAAACGTTTTGGTTAAATTTTATTGCAGTGGATATTGTTGAGATCCATCCATTTCAGCAATAGACCCACCAGGTTATTGATACTTTATTCAAAATTTGTAAATCTCTTTGATCACAGTTGCAATGCTTAGTCTATAGCCCTACTACAAGACTTGTAATTTCCACTGAAAATTGCATAGTGATTGCATTAAGCTTCCAATTCTACTCATAAACAGAAACGAGGCCTCATTTGCATTTCATGATCCATATGTTATCTGATTGTACATACTTGCGGACGATCACCTGGGCTCTGCCTAAGTATTGAGAAACCTTTCATGCTATCAGCTTCAACTTCTCACACTTTTAAAGTAAATGCACACTTAGTTGTAAAGTAAATGATCTTTACTCTTTTCATATTATCTTTATCCTTATCATCCCTTTTCCCTTTTACTTCCTCCTATCCTTCAAAACATCTGCTGATGAGTCCGTTAACATCCTTGCTTAACTCTACTAGCTGCTCAGCTGCACTACTTCCTGGTCCCTATGGTTTCAGAGGTTGGAGCCCCATTCAATTTGTGTGACCTGGAGAATGGCTTGCTCTCGGTTGTCAACTTAAGAGTTCTAATGGTCTAAATTATGTGATTAAAATTTGGGGGGAAATAAGTTTCATATAATTGGCATCTTTGGTGTTGACATATAAAACTTTATTTAAGGTAAATGCTTTGAGAGACAAGATTGTCGAGTTCTTAGCATGAATATTTTTGGAGGACACATATTTTTTAACTTTGCTTTTGCTCTTCCTTTAAAGTTTTGCTAAATCTTAGTCCTGAGAGCACATCATGGAGGATGCCTTGGGTTCAGTGAGCCTTTCGGACGCGGTTCCCAACGAACCCGCCTTAGGCGGGGTCACACTTGGTGAGCTTAGAGGCGCAAGTGGAAAGTTTAATTAGCTCCAATTTTTAAATATGTAAACAATTTAAATATTTAAAACTTATTTAAACTCTTTAGAAAATTCCTAACACTGAAAGCTTTATTGTGGCTGGTATAAACATTAAGGAGCACTTTCTATATTAGATTAAAGGTTGTTGCTTTTTTCCATATGTGAAAAGTAAGAGGAAGTGAGCTTTACTACTTTCTTTTTACATCTATATTATTTTTTAATTTGAAAGATTAATGTTGTCTTGGCTAAAAGGAAAGTGCATCATCCATATAGTTGAATGAACTCGTAAAAAAACTCAAACCTTTTGCTTTGTTTTTAAAACAAAAGAAGAATTTGCCGTTCATAATGGTGATGTGGTAATCCATAGAAGGCAGGCTTGCTACTTTACTGGTAATCATTAATTCTGCTCATATTATACTCACTGATTTTTGTTGGTGATTTGGTTTAAGGGAAATAAAAAGACCATCTCGAGTGGAGTTTGAGAATGGTTCAGGGCGAAGAGTCACAAGGGGGACAGCAACAATAGGCAGCTCCCGGGATCACTGTTATTTCATAGCTGCAGCCTCGTTTATCAGTTTACTTGTTGGCAGAGGCTAATGCTTTGTTTTGTAAATACACTAGAGCAGCGGTCGCCAACCTTTCGGACCAGTGGTCCACGGACCACCAGTTGGCAGGCCCTGCACTAGAGAGTGATAGGTTACAGTCCTTAAGACTGAGGGGCCAAATGCCTATAGCTACATGTGAAACCTGAACACAACTTAGAAGCACAATTACTGAACTATCATAAACGTGGACTTTATCAGATGACTTCTTCTGAGAGAGACAGTAAAGACCCGTGAAACAATTCATTGCCACATCTTTGACTCAAAGAAATCTTGAAATCTGGGACATGGTGGTTTACCTAGTAGTTTACTATGCATAGTTGTTTACTTAGCTTGCCCTTTTTTAAATGATCAATATTTAAGTAGTGAACATTAATCATCTTGACCTCTATACATTCACAGAAATCCTCCATGGTATTATCTTCTTGACATCTAATATAGGACTACCTCACTTGTGACACAGAAGATTTCCATTTTTTATTAGTGTGTTGGAAAGACATTGGGAATGAAACGAAACCTTCCTAAGCACCTGATCACGACGCTCACTTGACCCGGACAGTCCACCTACCTCAGCTTTCAGTGTCCAACCAAAAGCGTGGCTTAATCCATTCGTGCTTAGTCAGAAGGACGCTAATGGTGATGCTGGGATTAAAAGGCAAGGGAGTGCAAGTTGTTAAGGGGGTCAAAATAGTAAGATTTCTTAAGTGCTTTGTTCTGATAAATGGATATAAAAGGAGTATTAACTGATGTGGCCGGTGGATCATCTAACAGGAAAACGGAAGAAATGTATAACCTATGTGTAATAATGAACACTTACTAAAATGCTTTACCAGGGGCTTTGCAAATTATGCCGGCAGCTTGATGAGGTCTTCTTTCCACTTGCGTTTTCTTTGGCAGGAAGATGGATGACCACTGACAACAGATGCATCTTGTGCCTTAGCCTTACAGCTTACATGCTGAACTCCTGTGAAAGGCTCCCCTTTCCTCGTGGTAATGATGTTTTGTCCCACACGAGTTTTTAAATGCTGTTGTTGTCTGTGTCTATAGTTAGAAGTTGACCCACAAGTTCCCACATTAATTAAAGATGTTCCTAGCCTTTCAGTATGAGCGCTGTAAGAAGAGTATTTTGGAGTTGAATGTCGCAAAGCATGTGAGTGATAGGAACTATCTACATAAAATAACATTAAGAAATCAAAGGAGATCTGTGGTACTATTTTGGAATCTCTGATATACAAGGTGGGGCAAAAGTAGGGTTATAGTTGTGCGTATAAAAATAATACAATAATGAGTAAATAATACAAGAATAAACTGTTTCATGTACTCACAACTGTAAACCTACTTTTGCCCCACCCTGTATGACTCTTATTCTTTACCAGATAATACTTTTCAGTATCTGTCAGTTATTAAAATAGTAGATTTTAAAAAATATTTTAAATGTGTGTAAACACAAATCCTTTCTACTGCGATCTTCCCTCGCTGTAGTCTTCTATAGTGTGTTCTAATTGCTAGAAAGCAATGGGCAAATGTATCTTTCATGATTCAGTCTATATTGGCATATTACTTTAGGGACCCAGGGCTTATTAGCAAGAGTGCTGTATTTTGACCCCAGACTATGAACAGACTGTGAATTTGGTGCCTTTTTTTTTCCTACCAAAGAAAAATTGGATCAAGGTTGGTGCTAAATTTCATGTTTCTTTCAAAATTATTTTTTCTTTTAAAGTATATATAACACAATAGGAAATGTGTAGATCCAGCAGTATTGTGTACGTTACATTTTTTAATATACATCTGAGGGGGGAAAAACTCACCTATAAAGCAATTTTTGAGTTCAAATATCTACTTCGAGGTATGTAATTTTGGTAAGCACATAAGGCTTTAAATTATGAAACTTACATAAAAATGATCACCAAATGAAAACTTAATGCCAAACATAGCCCCAAACATCTCTGGTCAATGTTTCTAGCACAAAGTTAGCTATTCAAAGTATGCTGTAACTCTGAGGGCATGTAAAAGAATTATGTATATTTTGTTATACAAAATAACTCTCGATTACACTTGTTTAAGTAGATATTTTGAGATATTTTTCAGGCTAAAATCAGAGTTCTGGGGGCCATCAATCTTAAAACTTGAACAATGAGTTACATTAAAAAAAATTCACACTGAAAGTATTATTGTTCATCTTTTAGATTTAACCTAAAGATTTACATTAGTAAGGACTATGTCTGAGTCAGGCTCAGCAAATTTCATACCTCAGATTTATCAAGGGCTGTCAGCATCATGGTGTGGCTGTGTGACACTCACCTAAAATCCCACCTGGAATTCCACGGGGGTTTCTGAGTCCTAATGTACCCGAACGTAGGACTCAGATGAAGTGGGGACCACGGGTTTTTATTTAATCCTGCTGTCTTGTATAGACTTTGCCTTAACTATGTTATGAGGATGTGCTAAATGTAAATTGGAAAAATGATACTATCATTTTACTAACTAGGAAGACCATACATTTAGAATCTACTAGAGTTTCCTGGGTTCTCTGTTCATTGAGAACTCCTCTCTGTTAACATGAGCTATGTGTGGAAGGGAGAATGGGAACTTGTTAATCAGAAGTTACAGTGAAGTGAGACTAAATATCCCTTTAATAGTAACTTCTGATGTATCTGTTAATATATTGTGGTTTGAGAAATGTAAGATTGGACATGCTTGATAAATTTGCATTTTGTCAGTTTGGTCTCTTGCCAGTTTATTTTAGCCTGAACGTTATAGCTACCACAGACTGAACCCTACAGTATTATCAAGAGAGAGCTTGGATATTTTAAGTATCTCTTAGTATAATATGACCTTTTTCATCCCAAGGTATTTTAATGTTTATATGAAAAGTAATTTTAAAATTATTTTGCAGAGTTTCAAAGTTAGAAAAACATGCTTTATCTTAGACATCAAAACCAAATTATCCCAAGAGCATGCTGTACACCGCGTGTAACTCTGCCTCCCTGCCGACACAGGATGCCATCTTTGGCACAATAGTTGTTTAAGTGTAGAACACTGTGCGAAATGATTATGTTGGATTTGATCAGTATGCAATATTTTAGTATGTGCCTTTTAAAAAAATGTATCTTTTTAAAGAGTTTAATTTATAATTGATTTTTTTATAATGTGCAATTTAATATAGAGAACCAAAATCTTTTAAATGAAAAGAGCTTTATAATCATTAGGAGGATAAGATCATTTTACTGTGGAACAATGTGATATTCTCAGTAAATATAATAAAAAAATTTTAGCAAATTTCTATAAGGCTTTTGATTATATTTATGGAATTGCTGGGGAGTACGGGTAAAGAAAAAATTATACTAAAATGAAGGAAACAGTCTGTGTTGAATAAAAGATAATATGCTGTGTGATTTTTAAAAAAATATATTTTTATTGATTTTTTTACAGAGAGGAAGGGAGAGGGATAGTTAGAAACATCGATGAGAGAGAAACATCCATCAGCCACCTCCTGCACACCCCCCACTGGGGATGTGCCTGCAACCAAGGTTCATGCCCTTGACTGGAATTGAACCTGGGACCCTCCAGTCCGCAGGTCGCTGCTCCATCCACTGAGCCAAACAGGTCAGGGCTGCTGTGTGATTTTTAAGCTGTATCAATCTATTCTAAGTATGTTTGGGTTTTGTTGTTTCTCTGAAATAAAGGGCAGGGGTAGAAATGATCTAAAAGCACTGGAGAGTCTAAAAACTATTTCTGTTAGTCATTTTTTAGAGTTAACTAGAGGCCCAGTGCATGAAATTTGTGCACGGGTAGGGTCCTAGCGGCTGCTGGCTGCCAGGCGGGGCCTCCCTTCATTCTGTGCCACCCCCTGGTAAGTCAGCGCACATCATAGCGAGCGATCAAACTCCCAGTCGGTCGAACTCCCGAGGGGACACTTTGCACATTAGGCTTTTATATATATAGATGTACATTATGTTTCTTTTACTTACACTGATTATATTTGTTAAATTGAGCCAGTATAGGTGACCTCCTACTCATTGATAATCTCAGGGGATGACCAAGAATCAGGCTGGAATATTAAAAAACACAATGTCCTGTTATTATGGATTACACACATTCAGGGGATGTTTATTATTTCATGAGCCCTAATTACAGAGCAAAACATTATTTATGGTGAATGGTGCTAAAGAGATTTTTTTACATTAAACTCAAGAACATGGAATTGCAATACATCATTTAGTCCAGTAATTACTTACATGCCTGCATATAAGTGCCAGAATGTGCAGGCCACTGGAGGGCTTTGGAGAAAACCAGGAAAGAATGGGTATCACATCTTGTTACTGATTCTGAGCAAGATAAAATTCACTCTCCTAAAAAAATAATTTTTATGG